CCGCTTTTTCCAAGCTCGCAAATTTCCAAATTGGAATTCCCCATAACAATAGGCCAAAAATTCGACCGGGGGGGGGGAGGGGTGTGTGGCATAGGTGCGGGGGATTGCAATCCACGTGCCCTCCTGCACAGCTGGCGTGGGAGCTCCGCACAATCATTCTCTGGTCGTACTACACAACGCATACCTATGTGCAGGGCACCTGAAACAGTCATCTCGCCTACAGATCCGACTACATACGCACACACACGAACACTACACGGGTGGAAAGTTCCCGCATACAGTGCTGACCCGCACTTAAGATATATTGGGCGAGGCTCAGTTCTTATTGGCTGCCCCAACCCGAGCACCAGTTCTTATTTCGTCGTCCATTCTTCTCCAGAAAGGGGCGTTCTTGTTCTTACAGTATTTTAACATAATTTGCTTTATTGTCGGCTGTCAACCATGAGCAACACTAGTACTGCTGTCGATACAAGAACATACCAAGGCATGGAGCAGCAACTGTCAACCTCCTTGGTCCATAAGGGTGACGTTGGTCCTGCGTACCCTTCCTGATCTACTAATGCTCTCAAGCAAAACCCAGGAGCCTACAGCCGCATCCGAATCTCCGCTGTACTTGTCTAAGGGCAACTTCATCTTGCGCGTACTCTGGTCTAGCTCCAGCTGCACACAGCAGTCGTACAGGTGGCGAGTGTCCTTCTGAGATTGTTGAGTGATCAGCCCTCCAAACCCCCCCATGCCCAGCCTAACGAGCACTCCACGCCGCAAAAGCAATCTGTCAAGAGCAACGGGTGTAGCTTTTTGAATACGAAAGCCTGCCGGGATCTCCATTCCCTGTATCTCATCCTCCGGGTCTTGTGGGTCCATGCTGTCGTCGTCGTCCAGAAGAGCTAGCTCGTCGGTCTGGGGTTGAGAGATGTCTGCGAACGAGGCAACGGGAAACACAAGATGTTAGGGTGTCACGTCGCCAAACTCAACCTGAACTTATCATGATTTGAGTGTAGCTGTGGGCGGAAACAAGCTAACGTCAACATGAAGGACATCGTCAACAAAAAGCAGATGAGGAGTTGGTTTGTGCAAAACAAACTTACCGCCGTCGTCTTCATCGCTGGAGTCAACGCCCTCCATGAGCATCTCACGTCCTCCATCGCCCTCCTCCGCCCGCCCCTCAGGCTCATCGTTGCCGTTCTCCGAACCTTGTTCGTCGTCGCTACTGT